GAAGGACTCAGGGAAGAGGTAACTATGGGGAAGAAGTGGGAGGGGAGCTGTTGCTTTGTGGGAAATTGTAGACCATGTCATGAGACAAAGTGCATGTGAGCTGCTGTGTGGAAAGTGAATTTGCTCTGTAAACTTTCACCCAAATCACAATAAAAATGAAAAATAAATAATGTTGAGAGCCCTGATTTCCTGAGCTCCTATCCCCTTCAAAAGGGGCTTCCTGGATCAGCCCACACTCCTGTCCCTCAACTGGCTCCTATAGCTCCTCTCAGCTCCCCCCCCCCCCCTTACCACCTAACATGATTTATTTTTCCACCACCGGACTGTCAGTTTGTGTACTGTGGTGACTTGTGTGTTGCTAGGATGTTGGAAGCTATGCTGCCAGGATTTCAAATACGAACAAGGTCACCCCTGGTGGACAGGTTTCAGCGGAGGTTCCAGACCAAGACTAGGAAGAAAGGCTTGGCACTCTGCTGAAAGTAAGCCAATAACATCCTTATGGATGACAACAGAACACAGTTCCTCTTGCTTGCTTTGAATCCATCATCAGGAGGGATCAAGTGCTGGAAGAGGACATCATGTTTGGTGAAGTGGAGGGTCAGCAAGGGCATGGGAGACCTCTGTGAGATGGATCGGCACAGTAGCTGAAACAGATGGACTTAAACGTGAGATTGTGAGGATGCCGCAGGACCAGGAGACACTTTGGTTCTGTTTTACATAAGGTTGCCATGAGTGGGAGTCTGCTTGGCGGCAGCTAACAACATGATTTATTAATCATTTCTAGTTTCTTCCTGCTGCCATTGCCACTCACAGGACATCCAATCCTCCAGAACAGAGGCTTATCTTTAGTTCCTAGCAGGAGCCAAGAACGTAGTTGTTCATTAAGACTTACTGAATGAATAGTTCTCTAAGTACATGCTTCATCTGCCTTCTGGTATTCCAGCAATAATAACCCTCTCTCTTAGGCCACAGGGCCTGTATGCTAGCCTCTCTCCTTAACCCTGAAGATTTCCAGAATCCCCCTCTCAAGGTGCCACCCTCCGTAGCAGGAGTCCTCACTGTAGTTTGATATTTCTGTACTTAACCATTAAATGCTGCTCTCTCGGTCTTGGAGTCCAGGATTGGGGAATCATGAATGAGTGCATCTAGACTTGATCAGCAGAGAGGGCTGAGCAAGGTCCCAAAGGCAGAGCCCTTTTCCCAAACCTCACGCCAGGTATTTAGGGGAAGGGATTAGGCCCAGTGGGCCACACTAACCAGAAAGTTGGCAGTTCAAGCCCACCAGCCACTCCTGGGAAGGAAGATGGGGCAATGTACTTCGGTAGAGATACTGTCTGGGAAACTAAAGGAAGGGTCGCTATGAGTTGGAAACGACTGGGCTGGGCACACCCCTACCCTCGTCTTACATCCTTGGCCTCCGCAGTGGCGGGGTACCCTGCGCACTGGGATCCTCATGCCCCCAACCTCTCACTTGGTTTCCCATCGTCGCGCCTTTGCCGAATCTCTGCTAAGTGCCCACCAGGGGGCGCACTGACACCATCGCTAGAGGTGCGGAGGGGGCGGGGAGAGGGTTTACACTGGAGAGCTAGAGATGCGATGGGTTGCGTTTGACGCGGTTCTCCAGGTGCCTCACTCTGCCTTGAGCCTTCATAGCTCCGGACTCCTGGACAGAGACCAAGTTTTTAAGCTTGGTTGGCTGCTACATGTGCTGAGCCTCCAGCGTAAAGCACCTTCCTACCTTCCCATCTCTTTGTTCTCCTGGCAAACTCTACTTATGTGTCAAGACCCATGTCTAATGATTCCTTCTCCAGGCAGACTTCCTTGATACTTAGGCTAGGTTGGCTAACCTGTTCTGGGTCCTTTGCCTCCAAAGTTGTCATGATTGGGTCAGCCTGGGAGGCTCTGGGAGCTAAGGATGGGGGCCTGCTGAGTCTTGGACTTTAAGGATAATCAGGTGACCTCTACATATAATCAGCTCTGGTCACCAAACTAGCCCAGAAGCTCTTGTCTCGTTTGGTTAGCCCAAGCCCAGCTACCCTCCTGGCCTGAGTAGGGGAACACAAAGATTGGCTGGGGTGGCAGGCAGGACACAAAAGAGCTATTGTCTGGATTCTCACCTGATAAAGATATCAAAGCTGGCTTGGCTCCTCAGTCTCTGGGTTTATTCTTACCTCCAGCCTTTGCTCAGAATATTCCTTTCCATAGGAATTCCATTCCTCTTTCCCAGGACCTACCTCCTGCCCTGATGACCTCCTCATCACTACCTCCCTCCTCTAAGTCTGACAGGCACCAGGACCCTGTGGAGGGAGGACTCAAGGAGGGAGGTGTATTATTTATCCATTCAACATACATATTAAGCATCTGCTGGTGGCATAGTGCCTAAGGCATTTGACTGCTAACCAGAAGGCTGGTGGTTCAAACCTACCAGCCACTCCTTGAAGGAAGATTGGGCAATCTACTTCTGTAGAGATACTGCCTCAGAAACCCAAGGAGTGGTCACTGTGAGTCAGATCTGACTCAAGGGCAGTGAGGTGAGGGTACTAAGTAACTAGTAACTGAGGAGGCTAGAGAATCAAAACAGGTAAGAGACTTGACCTTGCAGTGATTGTATTCTCATGGGAGGCAGACAGGGACTGCGTCATTAAATGGCCATGTTTAGGCTGATGCCTAAATGCAGAGCTCAGTCCAGTCCCCAAAATTGAGATTTGCAGAGTCGTCCCAGCACAGCTAGTGTAAAAGTCCCAAAGGGGAACAAAGTTGTCCTGTTCTAGGCAGCAAGGAAGCCATTGAGGCTGGAGATGAGTAGAGCTAGGGGAGAAGGAGATTAGAAGTCAGGGGGAGCAGGGCCAGAGGACCCTGCAGGGTCTTCACTCACTATGAGTGTATTGGGTAGTATGAGAGAGTTTGGGGAGAGATGATGGAGCCCAATTTAATGTCTCATGGCGCCCACCTGACACGTGGATAACAACCCATAGGAATGACGGCATAAGTTAGGGACATCAGGTGACTATTGTGAGGATGTGGGTAGTTTGCCTTTTACAGGGTAGAGCTGGTAAGGCTTGGTAACCACCTGGTTGTAGGTGTGAGCATCAGGGAGATGTTCAAGGTCCAAAATGACTCCAGATATGCAGCCAAGGGATTGGATGGATGGTGGGGTCATTGTGGAAAGGAGGATCCTAACCTTTTGAATCCTCTCCACAATGCTGTTGTTGTTGTTGTTATGTGCCGTCGAGTCAGCCCTGACTCATAGCGACCCCTCCTTGGGTTTCCGAGGCAGTATTACTACGGAAGTAGGATTGCCCAACCTTCCTTCCGAGGAGTGGCTGGTGGGTTTGAACCGCCAGCCATCTGGTTAGCAGGCAAGTGTCTTAGCCACTATGCTACCAGAGCTCCCTCCACAATGCTAGCATGGCTCAAAGCTGGTCAGGCCTTGGCTTCCCTTTAAAGGCTATGATTTCTGACTCAAGGGGCTGGACACCAAAGAACCTCACCAGAGAACAGGGCCACCCTAAGAGAGGCCTATGATCACTTGAATCTGCTGGGCTGGCATGTCAGTCTGTAGTCAAGAGTCCAAGGTGGCCAAAGGAACCCCACTCTTCCTCATTTGACCCTTTGCCCTGAACTCCTGCCTGTCTGGAGCCCTGGCAGGAGGAGCTCTATGTTCTCCCACGCTGGGTCTTTACCAGACTAGTTCCCAGAGACCCTCTGCTGCCACTTGGGTTGAAAGTAGGAGCAGCAGTGGCTTTGGGAGGAGCCCCCTGTGCCAGAGCCTGAGGTAGGGGATAGTTGGCCCTTAGAGAGGAAGGTACCTCAACCAACCATTTGTTTCACTATACAGACATAGGAGACAAGTCTATGTGGGGAATGGCTTTATCATAGGACACGCCAGTAGTCTGGAAAGCCTGAAAAAAATAAAAGGCCAGCTGTTTCCTAAAAGAAAGGAAGGAAGGAAGGAAAGGGCAGGATAGGGTCTTTGGACCAGCCAGGTATGATCAGGGTGGGGCTGGCCCATGGGAAAGGTTATGTGAAGGGTCAAAGCCTCTATGCCCCAAATGTGCTCAAGTGGTCCTGCACTGGTGTCTCCCTTCCCCCATCCAAAGTGATGCATGATGATGGCCTATTACTCATTGTCAAGTCTCTCCCCACTCTGTTGTTGCACCTGGACAACTCCTATCCCATTTCTCATGCAGGCAGTCTGTGTCCTCTCTGGATGCTCCGGTTGATGTGAGGTGGAAATGAGGGGCGACTACAAGCTCCCACCTTCCCTCCAGCTCTGCAGGGGAACTTGCAGATGGGCCATGGCGCTGGGTCCAAGCTCTAGCCAACTCTCAACGCTGAGCCTCAACTGCTCTGTCTGGTCAGTTGACCTCACACCCCGTGCCCCTCTCACTCTGGAACAGAATCTCTTCATCCCACCAGACTCCTAACCCAGGGGCAAACTGAAAGGGTGTCCCTGGGTGGGGCTGCCGGGCCCAGCTGCCCTCTGGGCAGGGTGAGAAGAACCAGTGTGGGGATTGCACAAGGATCCTGGTCAGTTCCTAGTCCTTTGAGGACCAAGAGCTGCCCATACACACTTCCTCTTTTCTTCCCCTTGCTTTCCTCAACAGCAGCTAGGACCAGGTCATGGAAACTCCAGGAATCGAAGGTGAGGGCTGCACAGCGTGACTTCGGGTACTGACGTCTGGTCTCCCTGCAAAGCTGCAGTAAGCAAGGGCCGCCCCCGTCGGCTACTGACAACAGGAGAGCCAGGCCGCGCTTCGATCGATCGATGAGCTCGGCGCGCAGCGCGGTCACGGGGGCAGGCCTGGGCGAAGTCAGGGGCGGGGCGGTGAGCTCCGACTGGGATGGTCGCTCCTGGCGGCGAGTCCCTATTGGTAGGCTGTTTGCGGGAGGCGGGTCTTGATCTTCCCTGCCGCCGCGGGCGGCTGCGGGCGGCAGCAGGCGGCGGGGTTAAGCGCGTCGCTGGCGCCCGGGCCTAGGCACGATCCCGGAGCGCGGAATCTGCATGTGGGACCGGAGTCGCTGGCTCACGCCATGGGTCTCTGCTTCTGCCCTAACCGCGCGGCCCTGTTACCGTGTGGCGTCCTGTACCTCCTGCCGTTGCTAATGCTGCTCGCAGAACCGGGGCTCCCTGCCGGACGTCATCCCCCGGTGGTGCTGGGTGAGACGTGTGTTCGGTAGTGGGTCGGTTTGCCTCTCCTGCCGGGCGGACGGGGTGCGGCGGCGCTGCCTTCCGTACTGCATCTTATAAACACCGGGTGGGGGAGCGTATTACACTTTATCTGTTTTGTCACCCAAATCAATCTATCCATCTCGCGCCTCCCTGGGCGTGGGCGTGGTCAGCCTCTCGTCGCCTGCTCCCGTCGAATATTAGGGTGGGTGGAAGGTTCTGCTACGGTTGTTTGTGAGTCCACCTGTCTACATCACCCCAAGCCTTGCTGCTCCCTATACCTATTAGCTGGGAAGACCAAAGCCCTTGGGCCCCCACTCCTGAAGTCCGGTGGGGGTTGGGTGGCCTTTAAGATGGGTCTCCAAGGCCCCAACATTGACCTTGTCTTGGCTAGAAGGCTGTCTGTCTCCCTCACCCTCTCCTGTGTTGCAGGTTACAGAGACTGTTACTGAAAAGAAGCTCTTTGGGAAAAAAAATTGCTCTTCTAGCTGGTCTCCAAGTCTCGTGTCTTCCCTCACCCCCTTTTCACCTTATCACATGGGTGGCATTGGGCCTGAGGGAGGGCCCCAAGGGAAACAGGGTGACTGAAGATAGGGGTAAGAGTTGGGGCAATAGCCATAAACAAGTGTCAGGGGCCATTCGATCACATGCCTGCATTCTAAACCTAGACCCTGCCCTAGTTGGACTAGGCTATGTTCTCCCTTCCCTTTCCTGGGTCTCTTGCCCTGTCCCCCATCCCAGATAAGGCAACTGTATGGGATCCACAGTGTCTTCAGGTGGTGGCTGGCAGGGATGAGGCCTCTTTCAGGTGGGCTTTGCGTGCCTCTTTCAGGCTGTCACTCCCCAGACTGGTGTGTAATTGGCCAGTCAGGACCTCTGATAGCAGAGGCATACTGAGGCATACATCACAAACTGAGTCTGGTAACAGCATGATCCTCATGCTTTATTTCCAAACCCACTGCTGTCAACTCAGTTCAACTCACAGCAACCCTGTAGGACAGAGTAGAACTGCTTCATAAGGTTTCAAAGGCTGTAAATCTTTATGGAGTCAGACTGCCACATCTTTCTCCCACGGGCGTGGCTGGTGGATTCGAACTGCTGATCTTTTGGTTAGCCGCTGAGCATTTTAACCACTGTGACACCAGGGCCCCTGTGCTATGTTTGCTGGGGGTAATTTAATGGGGGATGATACCAATCATAGAAGGTTAAGTTGATGGGCAGGTTGATCCCAGTGGGGTCTCCCACTAAGAGCTCCAGGCCAGGACATGCTCCAGGGGGATGCTGGGTCCAGGTTCACCCTGGGATTTGGGCAGACATGATCTTTCCGTCCCTAAGCTTGCAAGATGGGCCTAACGATGATCCCCAGAGAAAAGATCTGTGCTGGGTGAGCACAGAGAATCCACCACTCCAGCCTGTGTGGGTGGGTGTTTGGGAAGGCTTGCTGGAGCTAAGGCCAGGAGAGACTTCAAGGCAGCGCAACTACATGTGGGGGAGACTGGCTGCAATGGAGGTGGGTGGAAGGTCAGGTTGTGCAAGTCTCATGGCGTTGGACATTTCCACTTTATCTTGGGGCCTGCAAGGAGCCAGGATTGGACCTGTGGTGTTCGAGTGGTAGCTGTGGCATGGGAAAGCAGGCGGTCCATGGCCCATACCCTTGCCTTTGGGATTGATGCTGATTCTGCACTCATTAATGCCTTCAGTTCTTGGTTATCATAGGTCACATCAGAGGTACCTCACACCCTGCCCAGAGTCACTGAACAGCTGAAATCTTACACTGCCTGACTTCTTGGGGAGTGAGGCTATTGTCATTGACCCTGAGAGATCCAACAGTAGACAGAACATGTACTGCTCCTGGCCACATAGTAGGAACCTGACCTTGGCCATCAGAAGATCAGCACCCAGTGATGATCATCTTCTAGGGTTGGAGCCTAAATTGTTGTGGAGTAAGCAGAGGCCAGAAAAGTGATACAGAAGACCCAGGCAGGGGGAATGGACTGTGGGCAAGCCACTTTCACTTCTCCCAGCCTTAGTCTCCACATCTGTAAAGTGAGGATAATAAGGGTGACTCCTCCCAGTGTTATTGGGGCTCTTGTCCTATTTCTAGGCACAGCAGAAAGTACTTTCTGCATTTTTTAGAGGTCATACAGGCCTGACTGGGGCAATGGATGTCCAGACAAGCAGATCTGGTAACTTCCCCTTCTGACTGTTTCCTCTTTGGTGGAGCCAGTGACCAAGGTCTCAGCACTGCCCTGCCTGGTTCATGTGCATGTCATCCAGAGGCTATAGCCACATCACGCTGGGGGACTCTGTGCCTGCACCACATCATGAAGAGAGGGAAAGCCCACACCTCTCTCCTCGGGCTGCCCTCTGGACACTGTGGGGTGATGCACAGGGAGGGCATACTCAGCACAGAGCTGGGTACCTAGTCGGCACCCAATAAATGCTCGGGAGAGTCAAGCATTGGTTGTTCACTTGATGATCACAGAACCCAAGTGGAATTGTGTTTGGGAGGTGTCGACAACATGGCATATGGGAACAGGTGAAACCTAAAAGGTTATGGGGAGTAATCAGACTGTGGAGGGCCTGGAATACTAGGCAGTGAGGCAATGAGGATGGGTTTCAGTGTCCGAAGGACCCCAGGGCTCTGTGTAGTCTGGATAGGCTAGCTGGAGTGAAAAGAGGTCCTCCTTGAGGCCTAGCCACACTCATCCCAGTGGGCCTCTGGCTAGAATGGCGTATTGTTTGGGGTAGCTGTTTCTGACACAGGGTGTGCCCAGATGCTAGGGCCTTCCAGATGATCTGACCCATAGGACCATATTGGACTCTGGGCTTAGGCAGAGTCTAGGGACCTTGGGAGGCTGGCAGATGCCAGAGTGAGCTCCTCTTAGCAGTGTTTCTGTGCATCACCTCCCTCCCACAAGCCTTCTACCTTCTTTGGATTCAGTGTTGCCTGGTGAAGTGGTCTAGTGCTCTGACCTGTTCCCCACTCCTCCTCTCATGGTGAAGAAGGCCCTGGCAACTCTGTCCGTGGCCCGGGATTTCTGTGGTGGGGGAAGGGCCCTTGAGTTAAAGCATCGTGGTTGTATATCTGATAACAGGGCTATATTCTTAGCTAGGTCTCCAAGTCCTTCTAGTCAGAGCTCTCAGCCAAGTTGTAGAAAGCATGTGGAGAGGGCTGTGTGTGTTTGTGGGGGTGATCCAGACCATGCTTAGCAGGTAAGCATGGGGACGTGACTTGAGCCTGAACCCCCTTCTAATAATCTGAATAGCCTAGGAGGGTGTGCCAGTGAGGATCCAGGGGATCTACTTCACCTGAGCTTAGGAAGAGTGTCAGAGGCCTCCCCAAAACATGCCAGATCCCTCCCAAGTCCCCTGTGGGGTTTGTGCCTGTGGTCTCTTGCACTCCTGTGGGCCGCACTGCAGTGACAGCTTTTCTATGTGGAGATGGTGCCCTGGCAATTCCAGAGGATATAGAAGGAAAAACCGAGGCTGGGGCTGGGTCACGGTTCCTGCTCTCTGTCTTTCCTGCCCCTGGTACTGTGTTGGTTTGAGGTGTGGAATGGGGGCAGGTGTGTCATTCTTGGAGGGGGGGTTCTGCTGCAGTCTATAGCCACCAGGCTTAGGGCCTCACGCATTTCCTATGCCCCGTACAGTGCCTGGGGATTTGGGCAACCAGCTGGAGGCAAAGCTGGACAAGCCGACGGTCGTGCACTACCTCTGCTCCAAGAAGACAGACAGCTACTTCACACTCTGGCTGAACCTTGAAATGCTGCTGCCGGTCATCATTGACTGCTGGATTGACAATATCAGGTAGGGGCAAGGGGCACACATTTGGGGTGCTGCTTACCAATAGGACTCAGACCCCCAGAGCCCCTTTTCATGTTGTCCCCACCTCAAGAGACTGCAAAGTCACTGACCTTCCTCCTACGCCATTTCTTTAACCTGGTTAATACCACCTCTGTACTCTCCTGGATGGGACTTCCCTTCCCTTCCTTCTGCTCTTGTCCTTATCCTCCTCCTCTGCCCTCTCCAGTTCAGGATTTGCCCCTCAGAGCCACATCCTGCAAGTGGTTTCTACGCCTCAGCCCTGTTCATAGGCCCGACATGTCCCTGACCCCTGCCCTTGCCTTTGAGCTGGCCACATCTGCTCCTCCAGCTTCTTGTTCTTCCTGGGACACGCCGTGTCTCCATGCTTTTGCACAGGCTATTCTTTTGCACATGCTATTCTTTTGCCCTGGAATTCCCTTCCCCTACACTCATTCACCATTCATGCGAAAGCTGGGCAATGAATGGGGAAAACCGAAGAAGAATCAATGCTTTGAGTTATGGTGTTGGCAAACAATATTGAGTACACAGTGGACTGCCAGAAGAATTAACAAATCGATCTTGGAAGAAGTACAGCCAATGCTCCTTAGAAGCAAGGATGGCAAGACTTCATCTCACGTGCTTTGGACATGTTATCAGGAGGGACCAGTCCCTGGAGAAGGACATCTGCTTGGTAAAGTACAGGGTCAGCAAGAAAGAGGAAGACCTTCAACGAGATGCACTGACAGCGGCTGCCCCAGTGGGCTCAAACCTGGCAATGACCATGAGGATGGCATGGGACGGGGCAGTGTTTTGTTCTGTTGGACACAGGGTTCCTGTGAATAGGAACTGACTTGATGGCACCTAACAACAACACATCCGTTCACAGGAGCCCTGATTGTTCATTGTTTGAGTGCCTGGCTGCTAACCAAAAGGTCTGTGTTTCAAACCTACCAGCCACTCCACATTAAAAAGATGTGCTATGTAAAGATTACAGCCTAGGAAACCCTATAGGGCAGTTCTACTCTGTCCTGTAGAGTTGCTGTGAGTTGGGATTGACTCAACCACCACGGAACACCCATTCATTCATCCTTTAAAACCTGACATAGTCCCTCCCTGATCTCCTCTGCCTGTCCCCAGAGCTGTTAACTCCTCTTTTCCCAAAGCCTTGCAAATGTTTCCTCTAAGCCTCATCACCTGCCAAACTTTGTTTCCAAGGATGTTTCCACATCCCTGATAATAAGATAGTAACAGAATGAGAATAATTGTTTATTGCATGCAGGCACTGCACATTTTGTCCTTTTTTTAGTTTTATCTTAACAACCTTATGAAACAGGTGCTGTTTTTAACCTGTTTTACAGACAAAGAAACCCGGAAGCTCAAAGAGATTACAGAATTGCCTAGGGCCACCAGCTGATATGTGGCAGAACCAGGATTCCAATCCAGAATTGTCACTGAACTCCCTGAAAGACAGGGACTGTGTCTCTCTTTTGTCGTCTTCTTTTTTTTTTTTTTCAATTTGAAAGCAATTATTATTTTATTAACTGACCGTATTATACAAATAACCATGGTAGACACCGTAGTTCATCCTTCGAATAAGCCTGTTGATCTGGTCTTCTCTGTTGCCAGCATCTCCATCTTCTATAGAATGGGTGGTCTTTTTCTTCGTTCCAGCTCATGGGTAGAGAATTCAAAGGGCCACAAGAAGGTGTTTGCTTCTTGTGGTCAGATCCTCCACACAGATGGTGCCATGTTTATCAAGAGATCGTGAGGTCAATGTGTCAGGGCAATTCTCATCTTACTGATTTTGCCATAACCATGCTCGTAGATCATTTCATTCACTGGCTTCAGGTTTGGGTACCTCCATGCAATATAGGGTTCCACAGTCCTCGGCATGTTAATTGAAACTTTGTTGAGCTTAACAGAGGTGCCACTGAAGATCTGGCAGAGGCAGAGAAGCTGCAGTGCCTTCTGAACCTGAGAACCGATGCCAACTTGGGTCCTGCAGGTACAGAGAAGGTGCCAGTTTTCTTGCCGCCCTAGCCATTGCAATCTCAGTTCTATGCATCTGCCTGCATTCCTTGTGACAGTGCTTAGCTTTTTCATAGATAAGCTCCCTCCTTGCCTTTTGAAGCAACTTTTGGGCAAATTGTTTCTCAGGCACTTTATCTTTAGTTCTGGGACATTCCTTCACTTTTTCTTAGGAATTTCTTTTCCATAGTCTCCGTGGTTCCAGCTTGGAAAAGAAAAATGGAAAAAAAAAAAAAAAGTCTCTCTGTTTTATCTTTACAGTAGAATCAGGAAGGAACAGAGTTAGTGCTGAAGAAGGGTTTGAGCTGAATGTTGCCTGACAAATGAGAAGGCTTCCTGTGGGTGTGCTGGCTGGATCTCGGGCACCCTGCCTTGCCCTGTTTTTTATGATGCCTGTTTGTTGACTCTTTCCTCCTCCGGGTGTGATCAGTGTTATTTCTGGGTTGTTGGCCTGCATGTCTATTTTTACACCAGAGCCCTGGCCAGTTGAAGGTGCGGGCTGGTGCTGAGAGGGGCTTGTCTGCCTTCATTGGTCCTCTGACCTGCTTAGACTTCTGTGCAGCCTAGGGCTGCGTTGGCTTTCCAGAACAACGTTCTGCCCTTGGCTGAGGGGCCATTTGGGATAATCTGCGGATTGCCCTGGCAAGAGCAGGCCCCCGGAGTGTTTACATTATTTAGGCTACTGGGGATCCTGTCAACTTTCTCCGGCTGAACTTTAGAGGCAATGGAACTTCGCCACTTTTGTGTCTTTGGTGTCTAGGGTGCACCTGGCGTAGCAGAGGGTTTTTCCTTAACCTGCCCCTATTTCTCCAGGCCTTGCCGACCCCCCACCCTTGAGGGGTACACAGCAGTCATGGATACTCAGTCCCTGAGACAGAGGGCTCTCCTGTGTGCTTGTATTGTGTACCACACTCACGGAAACTGAGATAATAAATGTGTTCGTTTTAAGAAGCCAAGTTTATGGGAATTTGTTCCACAGAAGTTGGAAACTTATGGAGACTTTGGGAATTGCAGATATCTGGTGGTTCATGACCTATGGCCCTGTGTGACAGCTCCTAATTATTTGCTGGCCAAGCCCTGGGTGTATGGTTACAGTCTGGCAGGTAATATGGCCCTGAGCCGTATGGACTTGTTTTTTGCTCTTTATTTTTTAATTTAATTTTTGGTGGTTGTTGTTGAGACTATACAACAAAACATACACCAATTCAACTGTTTCTGAATGTACATTTCAGTGACATTTAATTCCATTCTTCGAATTGTACAATTTCCACCTTCCTTTCTTGAGTTCTTCCTTCCCGATTAACATAAATTCACTGCTCCCCAAGTTTCCTATCTTTTGAATTGCTGTTGTTTGTTTGGGCCCATACAGATAGTTCTTAAAGGAGCATAATGTTCAAGGCAGACCTTTTTTACTAGGTAAACTAAACGATTATTTGGTTTTAAGATTTCAGGGAATATTTTTGATTTAAGGTTTACAGATTATCTCAGGGAAATGATTTTTTTCTTAAATACATTTTATTAAAATATAAGTTATGTACAGTGAAATATACCAAACTAAAGTGACATGGGTCAGTGCATTTTATTTATTTATTTGCAATGTTCCCTCCCCTCCCCTTCTACCCCTGGTAACCAACAAAGAAAGTTTCCTTCCATATATAAACCTTTCCTTGACTTTTTACAATAATGAACTAATATTATATTTGTCTTCCTGTGATTGACTTATTTCACTCAGCATAATGTTGTCCAAGTTCATCCACGTTATGCAGTGTTTTACAGATTCTACATTGTTCTTTAGGGTTGCATAGTATTTCATTGTGTGAATGTACCATAGTTTGGTTATCCGTTCTTCTGTTGATGAGAACGTAGGTTGTTTCCATCTTTTTGCTATTGTAAATAGTGCTCAGGGCAATAATTTGAAAGGTTCCTGAAGCCTCCATGGCTTCAGAAAGTTTGGAGTCCATGAGAATTTGAAATCGTGTTCTTCTTTTCCCCTTTTGATTGGAATTCTTCTGTAGAATCTTGGCTAAGAATGTTCAGTAATGGTAGCTGGGCTCCATCCAGTTCTGGTCTCATATTCCATTTTCGCCTCCTGTTCCTGACTCCCCTTCTTTGTTGCTCCAGGTGAATAGAGATCAACTGTTGTGCCTTGGATGGCTGCTTGTGAGCTTTTAAGCCTCTGAGCACTATGCAAGGAACTAGGAAGTAGAACAGAAACACTAAGCATTGTTAGGCCACTTAACTAGGATGTCTCTCGAATCCATGACCCTAAACCTCTAAACCCAGGAACCAAATCTTGAGGTGTTTGGTTAGCATTAGCTGCTACTTTTTTTTTTTTGGTCATTGTTGTAAATACATCTAGTGCACATCTTTTGCCAATTCAACTTTTTTTTTTTTTTTAATTAGGATTTGGGTGAAGATTTACAAAGTAAATTCACTTTTCATACAGCAGTTCACATATACTTTGTCTCATGTCATTGACCAAA